ATTCCATTACAGGAAGAAGTAGTCAACTCAAGAGTGTTTGGCGCAGCAGAGCTGTTCCTTGGCGGTTATGAAGTGGGTTTTTTTCAAAACCTGCCATTCCCCTTTAGCACCCGTGATAGTGGAATAAGACAGGGGTCTGGGTGAACCTCTAGCTAAGATTCTGTGAAGTTCGGAGAACCCCCAAATCCCATTCTTGGCTGGCCCCGCCCCACCACTCCCAGGAGTCCCCACACAGCCGATTTTGGATGCAGGCACACGTGGAGGCTCAGGGCGGGCGAAAAACGGGCCTAAGGGAAGTTTTGGAAATGGGCCCATTTCCGGCCTCCAGGGGGCCTCTGCAGCCTGGGGAGGCCATTTTCGTCCTCCCGGAGGCGTGAAAAAAATCTCCAGAGCCTGGGGAAGGTGAAAATGCCCCACCACCACCACCACCGTGGTGCAGGAGGCTAAGTAGGCCACACCCACCATGGCCAAGCCCACCCAGCAACCGGGGAGAGAACCCCTTGCTAAAGTATTTGAAGCCCACTCCTGGTATAAGCATTCACACTGTGTGAGCCAAATCCAGTTTCAACCCATTTTCAATTTTCTGCAAAGAGCTAGCCACCAATCTTAGCATCTTAAGTTTGTTTTGGCTAAGAGATGCTGAAACGTTAAGAGGTTCTTTCCTAGCAGTGGTTGATAGCATTTAATGCTGGTTTTATTCAAATAGCACATCAGTAATCAAGGAGATATTTACACAAGTAGTAGTAGTAGTAGCAACAACAACAACAACAACAAAAAGAAGCACAAATACACACCAACACACACACAAACAAACAAACATTCTTTTGGCTTCATAAGCCCAGCTTTAAAATAAAGCAAAAAAAAAAAAAATCCCAGACAATCCAAGTAAACATTTGTCATTTTAAAAATCCAGACTTCTTTCAAACAAACAGAAAGATATATATTTTTCCCAACACAAGCCCAGCTTGCAACTGAGAACAAATATCATGTAATCGTGGTAATAAAAATAAAAAAAATATCAGAAATAAAATTCTCTAGCTGCCTCTGGCTTTGTTTTTGGGACAGCATGAATTTCCTTTAGAGAACATCAGATTCAGCCAGATCCCCAGAGATCATCTACATATGTAAAGGCACACTCGTTAAAAGTTTTTCTTCTTTTTCTTTTTATCCTGGTTTTGCAAATTGGGTGGCGTGTGAAAATGGCTCCTGAGATGTTCTAAAGAGAGAACACAAGGGTGGAACAATAGTGCAAAACCTTCTTTTGAAGGATAGCCAAAAATGGGTGTCCCCCCACCCCAAAGCTTTAAAGCTAAACAGATTCCTTGCTATTTTGCTCAGCCTATCAGAATAATCCCTGGGCGACAAGGTGATAGTGGATTGTAAAGATTGGCAACACAAGAATGATCTTCCATAACTCATCTCAAAACATCAAACTGAGCTGCTTATTGGTTCTTCCTATATCTCCTTTCTCACCAGTTTTGTCACTAATGGGAGAGGAGATTAAATTTAAACCCTGGAGCAAGATAGAACTCCTTAAGCACTATGATGGGCCAGACGATGCTACAGGGTTAGACTTGGGAGGAAAGGAAGGAAGGAAGGCAGGCCTGACAATTAACATCTACTGTTGGTGTGAATGATCAAGGGAAACTGATCCATTTTCTCACCTGCTCCCTTGCCTGGAGCAAAGCATCCACTGTGCTTTTCTAAACAAAATTGTGTAGAAAGGAAGCTTAAGAGAGAAACATTCCCTTCTCTTGGCCTAGCAGATGAGGAGAGACCAATAATAGCCATTTGCAGGTGAGGAAACAGAAGGAAAGCACTTTCCTACATTCCATGCCAAGGAGATGAAATTTCACAGGACTTATTTTTCTGAAACTGTGATGGAAGACTATCCACATATGCAGAAAACCAAATATACATTTACGTGCTGATGAAGATCTGGTTGCCCTTGGATAAATCAGGAAGAGACCATTTTTCTCTATTAAGGCAAGTCTTAAAGGAGCGTTTGAGTGGAGTAGGTTTGCAGCAAAGAGTTTTTACATACATTTTTCAACTCCTGGCAACTCCACCTCAAAAATGATGGTTTGTCCTCACCCAAAAAAATGATAGCATTGCGGTGGGAACTCTACAATTCTTAAAGCAACAAATCTATCCAATCTGGAAAGTTACATTCCAGGGTATTGGGGGGGGGGGAGTCTCTTCAATCCACATTCTACCAAACCAACATAATTGTGCTTCTCTATCACAACTCTCTCACCCTGGTGACAGTCTGCCACCTCCTCAACATAGTTTCAAGCAAGACGATACAGGAGAAAACGTGTACAGGAGTTTGGGAGGAGAAGCCGGGGGAAGCAGGGAGAGAGAATATGGTTTGAGTTTGTATCTTCTTCAGATTCTTCAAACGCATAGCCAACTCAATGGGTGTTGCTTCCTAGGTAAAGAGGCAGTTAGGATGCACCTCACAATTCCATGGAAATTCGGGGCGATTTAAGTTTTCTCTTTGTAACTCTTCTGAGATGACATCTAGAGTGGGCTTTCTAATTTCCGGCGCATTTCACCTCTCCAATGTAAGGCCCCCACATTGGTTCCAATACATTTTATATTTCTTTTTTTTTCCTGCCTCTTGGCAATGTGCTTCAACCATTCCCCAAAAATCTTGCTTTAAGGGGCCCTTCCACTTCAAAATGGTCCCTATGATCTTGGTGCAGGAGGCCAACTTTGCAACTCAAACCAAGAGAGGCTGTGCAGCCCTGACCCAATCCCTGGACAGTTACACTCAACCCCATTAGGCTACGTCTAAAGTCCCTTAGCTTTTCTGTACAGACATATCAGCATATCCAAAGGATATGGAGCTACATTTATTTGTGAGTGTGTATATATCTATATATTTAGTTAAGTATGTATAGAAGTGGGTATACATTACATCTATATAGACCAGTGTAGAGACACTGGGTAGAGAGTCACATCTTTTTTTTTCCTCTCCCTATAGAAGGTTTTTTTTTTAAATTTTGGGTGGTGATTTCCTAAGAGAAGGTGAGCTTTGTTGACCTTGTTCACAAATTCCCTGTTGTTCAAGATGGAAAGGAAAGAAAGGAATATCCACCTAGGTAAGTCACAAGCTAGCGTTGCAACAGAGAATCAGAGCTCTTCACACCACATTGAACCCAAACTGAGCCTGCCCAATTTGGCTGTATCCACAGTTCTTCCATGTGATTGCTCCTCCTCCTCCTCCTCTTCATCTTGCCCTTGTTAACATGTTTTCAGATGTGATGTATTCAAGAAGATCCAGAAGTGGGAATGGACAGTGGATTGTAGGAGTGAAAGGTGATAAAGCCCAACATAGTTCAATGTCTAGAATAAAGAAGAGTTGTTTGATTCTTTGGCCTCTCACTGTAGGGCAGATCTGTAAGGGGCCTGGCTGGAGACAAGGCATGGGATCAGCAAAAGATTTCCTCGCTTTCTGGTGCTCCTTCTGGAGAGTGAGCATCTAAGGGGGAAAATAAAAAGAAATCAAAATAGTATCAACCCACATCTGAGACGGCTTTATTTCCTGGCTTCCTTATGCACTGCTGTATACTTGAGCAGTCAACTGTATCCTAAAGGTAAAGGTTCCCTTTGCATATATGTGCTAATTGTTCCTGACTCTAGAGGGTGGTGCTCATCTCCGTTTCAAAGCCGAAGAGCCAGCGCTGTCTGAAGACGTCTCCGTGGTCATGTGGCCAGCATGACCAAACGCCGAACGTGCGTGGGAGCGCACTCCGTTACGTGGTGCTAGGGATTTGAACCACCAAACTGCTGACCTTTCTGATCAACAAGCTTGTCTTAGCCACTGAGCTATCTGAGCCCTAACTGCATCCTACCAGAAGCCTAATCAGAGATGAAGCAGACTGATAAATACAAGAGATACAATAAATACATAATTATCTATCTACATGTCACCACCCTTATGGAGGTTGGCTGTGAAGAGTCCCTACAGCTGAAATGATCCTTACAAGAATTCACCCTCTGCAAATCCCACACAGCTGTCCACCCAAAGTCAATCGATTAAATGTTTTTTTTGCATATTGCCATAGTCAGCAACCTTTCCTTCTTTACGATATAAGAAGAAAACGTAAACGCATCAGCAAAAGCTTTCAGTTCATATTAGAACCAAACATCACTGAGAGCATATGCACCAAAGACAAATTCCTTGTGCTTCCAATTACACTTGGCCAATAAAGAATTCTATTCTAATCTATTCGGAAAATCAACGTGGGATGACACCATCATTACTACTGTAAAATGTTACCCCTTCCAACTTGAAAGTTAGATAAGATAATTGTAGTTCAGGGGAGGGTAAGTATATAACAGGTAACGGCACACTGTGCGCCTTCGGCTTTAAGTCATGCTGGCCACATGATTACGGAGATGTCTTCAGACAGCGCTGGCTCTTCGACTTTGAAACGGAGATGAGCACTGCTTCCTAGAGTCGGGAACAACTAGCACATATGTGCTTTATGCATAGGAATTTATTCAACTAATGGCCAGCACTGTGTTGGTGGCTTAGGGTTAACGAAATTCAAGAGAGGTTGGACCGTTAGTGGGAACGTAGAGATTCTATGCTGATTCCTCTTTTGTCTCTGCCCCCAGTGCTGCTATTCCTTCTCCTACACAAACAGAACAACCCATGAAAACATCAAGTTTCCGTTGTACATGCTATCACAGCAAAATGGCCTTTTTGATGTGTTTCTGCCAATGTGGGAGCTGTCTCAAATATTTATTCACTCCAACACAGCTAAGGACCATCTAACTGAGGGTAGACTTGAATCTTTTTTTCAGTATTAGTTCAATCACTTCAGCTTTTCAACTATACTATCCCTCTTTCGGTTGAGGGAGGCCACAAGCTTATTCTTTCCAAACATCCCTACTGTTGTTGCCTACTGATCTGCAGACAAGACTCAGATGTGGACCACAAGCA